GATTTACCATAGTAGCGCTTCTCAATGCAAACTGACGCCAAGGGGAGACTCGAAGCCTCGGGTGCCGTCTCGAGCAGATCATTCAGAGCATCGACGACGAACGCTTGGTACCCAGACGCGTTGTAGTACGGCCAGAGAAGGTCGTTGGCGAGTCGCGGCTGGATAAGGTGGAGGTAGTAGAGGCTGGCCGCTACAGTCGCACCAAACCAGAGCGCACCAGCAACCAGAGACGGGTAGTGGCGCGACGAGCCGACGTATCCTGTAGGCAGCACCCGCATACTTCTTTTGAATGGTTACTCAACTAAATCCGTGCGCCTCTGACTCTGAAACGACTCTGTTGGCACAAGCGTCGCCGTCGCGTTTCTAAATATGATGGTGTCGGCATAATTGCTATTCGCTTTATCCATGCTAGAGCAGCTCAGGATGCATCTCTATTGGGAATCGAGGATCTACACTGGAGTACAAGTTGTACTATTACAGAGGGTCTTAGCAACACTTTTACACTAGCGATCCTCAAGTGCTAGTGCCATGGCAAAGCGACTGGATATGCTTCGTCTCGAGTCGCACATCTGCGCCCGACGATGACTCGCGACCTCGAGCTTGTGGACGCACCACGTCTTGACGTCAAAGACGACCCACTGATTTTGATACCGAACGCTCAATAGTCCATTCAGAACCGCCGACGCACGGTCCAAAAAGTACGTTCCATCCTCGTCCAGCCAGCCGTCGTGACTGAAGAGGTACTTGGCCCCGCCGCAGAGCAGCATCGACGAGCTCACATGTGGATGCGGCCGTTTCCAGAGACAACGCACCAGACCAAAGCAGACGCCGTTGCAGACAATCACCAGACCCACCAGCGTCAGTAGTCGCTCCAACGACCCAATCACGACACTGCCTGCCACACACACCACTTGGTAGTCCAATGTAGCAATCTCACAAGTTGGAGATACTGTGATGGTGGCCTGGACCGGCGCCAGTGTCGCCAGCAGTGCCGAGATGAGCCACATGAGCAGACTGTTGATGGTGGCGTACGCGATCGTGTGGTCTTGGGTCCAGACGAGCGAGATGTCGTTGACGATGCCGACAAGCCACGTGACTTCATTGGCCGCGAGACACGTCGTCCAGAGCGGGACGGG